AAAAATACAAATCAAGAAAAAGAGAATACCGACGCAAGAAATCACGTTTCAGTTTAATTGGCCTAGATCTTAAATAATTAGTATAAATTAGGCTGGTTTAAGTCTGTTGAGCGTCTGCCAGTGGCGGCGTCACGGGATGCACAGGGCTCGGCGCATACGATGAAACGTCCAGTGTTTTAAACAAATGCAGCGATGTAGTTTCAAAAAAAGATCGTGGAACATGTTCTTCGTCAAGCGGTGAACAAGTCGGTGCGAACAAAACAAAGTATCTTGTTAGTACTGAATCGGCACGTAGGCTTAGTAAACGATATTGTTACATCAATGCGGTATCATGGTATATGTTGTCCTATCTCTTTCATCTCTGTCCTTGTCTCTCTCGTCGGCTCTCTCTCTCCTCTGCACCTCTCTAACTATCTATCTATCACCACATTTGCCTCGGCTCTTCCCTCTCTGCTTTCTCTCTCTCCTCTTCTCTCTCTATTCTCTCATCTCTTCCTCTCGTCTTTTCTCTTTCTCTCTCTGCTCTGCTCGTCTTCTGTCTCTCTGCTGGTCTGTCTCTCTGCTCTCCTATCTTCCTCTCCTCTCGTCTCTCTCGGCGCATCTCTCTCTCGTCTCTCTCTCGTCTCCTCTGCCTCTCCGTCTTGCGCGTGCTCTCTCTCGTCTCTCTGTCTGTCTGTCTGTCTCTTCTCTTCTCTCTCTCTCCCTCCTCTCACTTTCCTTTTCTCTCTCTCTTTTCCTCTCTCTCTCTCTCCTCTCTCTCTCTTTGTCTCTCTCACTCCCTCCCCCTCTCTCTCACTCTATCACCCTCCCATCTCTTGCACTCTCTCACTCTTCAATGAACCATCGACTCCTTTCATTGCTGATATTTTGTATTCCGGCAATGTAGAAGTATTACCACTAAGTATACGGCCACGCCGACAGGTGCCAGCCGTCTCACGCGGCCGCGTTGCCACTCAGCAACAATGCGCCGCTGTGTCGCGGTGGTGTGTGGTGTATTGTGTGTGCGGGGGGGAACATGGCGGCGATATAGGCGAGTCGTTTTAAACACAGAGCAGCCGAGTGAACAACGCGTGCCGGCGTCCCATGACGTCAGTGCCGCGGCGTTTGTGTGCGTGCGCGTTGTGTGTGTGTGTGTTGTGTGTGTGTGTGTGTGTGTGTGTGTGTGTGTGTGTGTGTGTGTGTCTGTCTGTCTGTGTGTATGAGTGTGTGTGTGTGTTTCGTGTTATATAATTATCGGTGTGGACCGTGTGGTCGACCCGATGATCTTCCTGGACATTAATAACAACACCCGGCTTTCTCGTTCGTATGCCATCATCTACATTCTCACCACGTCCAATAATTTCTAAATGACGCGATAGAAAGTTGCTGGTATGTGAGATAGCTCTCGTGTACCTGCTCAAACGAAGTGAGGAATAACAGTGTATGCATGAAAAATGAGTCGAAACACAACTAAATACGCATGTCAATTGACGCGAGGGCGAGATGACTAAATTGACTACACAGCCTGACATACAAAATTGACATACACTATTGACTACACAAAATTGACTACACAGCCTGGCATGTCTTGTCTGCCCGCAATTTGAGCCCGTCTGATTGAATCGTGCTGGGATTATCTGCCCAACAACTATTTAACTATCCTTTCATTCTTCGCGTTATTCGAGTGGCCAGCAAGGGCGATTTTAGGAGAATAATAAAAATATCTATTCGCTAAAGGGAGATGATGTGCTTCAGGTGTGCTTATGGAGGTTTTAAGTGGTTCTGGTCAAGTGGAAGTCAGGTGATCTACAAAAAAAAATCTCGTGCGAGGTTCTGTCGACAAGCGAGGTGGTACGCGGTGGTATTACAACGGCCTACACTATCACGGAAGTCACTTGTCGTCTGCGTTGCTGCGCCGCGGCATACATTCAGATGCGATGTGGCAACGCACGAATTGAACTCAAAAATCGATGCAAGCCCGCCGCCGGCGTGCAGCACTAGAGAGAGAGGGAGAGAAGCGACATAAATCACAGCGCCTAGCGCGCGCTATACCGGCATACATGAATACGATCATGTCACGTCATATGCACGAACCAGCACCACTTATACATGCGCTCCACACCCTGACCTATACGTCGGACGATGACGCCCAACAGCTCCTCGCGCTCTTGTATACATATCGCCATGGCCGTATCTATATAATCAGGGAGTTAATAATGACAAATGTTTAATAATTTGTCTTTATTCACCCAACCCCTGATATAATGTATGGATATGTTCATTATAGACGATTCACGGCGTTCACGTTCGCGCATGCGTCATGTCACAGCATCTATATTCCTCTGAGATACCGTTGCCGTTGACGCCTGTGTGCGTATGACGCGATGCGTGACGTCGAACAGAAGATGGCGACGACGCGAGATTGCGACGTCAAGCGGTCAAGACGTCAACTTCGGACACTGCCGCGAGCGTCTGTGGTCAGCGGGAGATGCACTGCTCGTAGCCGCCGGCAGGTGGCGTTCGTCACGACCCGTGATTTATCGCAGACGCTGTCAATCATGGCGTCAATCAGCCCGCCGTCGCTACTCAGCACCTGAGCACCATTCTACTCGCGATATCAGATTGATTCGAGCTTTTTCGCATAAATTGTGAATTATGAAAAGTGAAAATTGAGAGTCGACGGTTCACGATCGACCAGCTACGGGCGTCGCTAAATAACTACTCACTTCACTAAACACCGCCACCGCTGAAACCTCTAATGACCTTAACAACGAACCCCGTAACTGTATGTGTAATAGTATAACGGTCACCGTCACTAAGAGCTATAATTATATCATTTCCCCCTCTATTTTAACGTAATCGTTTCGCAAAGAAACTAGTTTGCCACAATGCAGTAAATGGCATACTTAATGCAAGCATGCAATGTTAATTATTTGGGTTCATACTTGTCGCGAAGTGACATGGCTAAGCACGTGAGCTCATGCAGCGCTATATTGCTGTATGCATATCGCTGTTCATGAGATCGTTACAGAAAGTTGCATGCGTTTGAATTATTTTACGTGAATAATTTACTCTTTCTGTGAGCTAGGTAAAATTCATATATTCTTCGCAGTTCTTTTTTTGTGTCTGTTTTATTAATAATAGTATTAACACCAATAATAATAATAATAATAATAATAATAACAATACCTAAACAATTTATCTATAATATTTAATACGTAATAATTTTTTATTCCAATTGTTTATGCAATAACAATTATATTACGCTCGTGCATGACGTATATACACATCAAAAGTTTGATCGAAGTTCTATGTGTTGTTATTGCACGTAGTATGCTTATTGTAAGCTATTGCGCTGATATCTGCAATCAGCCATCCGCACACGTACTTGTTGCAGCAGGTAGAATGCAAGCAATCGGCCAGGGCGCGATAACGCGTGAATTAAATAACGTTGCACGTTGATGTCGCCACACGACAACAACACCCTTTCTGCCGGCTCGTGCGAAAATTGCGTCTAAATTATCTCTCAAAAAAGCAACTCACAAAATATGTTAATTGAAATTAGTAATTGCTAGCTACTTTAGGCGAGAACGAAGGGGACGAACAATAAGCCAACACGGGCTAACAACAGCGGCTATGAAAAGAGTAACGTCACAAGCAAGTAGC